ACCAGTCAATTTACCATATGCTTGCTGTTGGTATCCTCCGATTCAAATGTGCATAATATGAAATATGCCTACTGAGCTATATTGACTATTACTGTGCGCTAAAATGCTGGTCAGATTTTCGTGGCAACTTCAGGGAACCAAAACAAGCCCTCAAATTAACTCTGACATTTTCAATATTATTGTGAATTTGTTAACAAACACTTCGAGCAGATATCGAGCAACATTTGCATAATTCAACCAATTTGATGGGCATATCCTGTCCTTTTAGATCTCCACTAATTCCCAGTTGGGAATAGCTGTCTCTTTACCACATAGCTGCTTCAGTCAGTTGTTTAAGGAGACTTTGTCTGCCTCGTGCTTGATGCTGACCAGACAGACAATGTTTTCACTAAAAACACTAAAAATTCATCTATAAAGGCGTGGGCTATAACCCAAGTATTTCAAGAACATTCTTTTTAACTTGTGTTGGTCTGCTTTCCATTTTAAAATAGATGAGGAATTTCGAGTTATGTCTGGAATGCGATGCTTCTTGAGACTGAGAATTATGTCTTCATTTGGTATATACTCAAGAACATCATATCAGTATACTCCTTTTTCCATGTTTTGTCATCACTGTAGTACTCCTAATCTGGTTTTAGACATCCAGGTTCCAAAATGATCCAAAGAAATGTATTTTAATCTGCCCAACCTAGAATGTGATGCCATTATTCATCAGGCTTATTTCATCTTGCAGTTTTTTGTTCTTCCTGGGGTATTGTTTGTTCTTGGACACCAGACATATATATTGAGCGGTCAGCTGTGCAGTCTGATCTCATAAAATATGAGATTCCTAAAATGTCATTTTAGGAATTATCACTGCAATTTTTTTTTCCTTTTGTGTCTTTTCACAGCAGAAGTGACATCCAAGCTTTCAGTTTTTTCATGTGTCATTTCATCTCACAAAATAGAATGCAAAAACCTTAAAATGCACAGACATGAAGTCAGGAGCTATTTATACATAATCCCATTTTAAACTAAAACATTCTCTGGAAAGATCCTTGTGTGAAGTTTTGCTTCAGTTTTTCAATGCTTTGTTGCACAAAAAGCAAGCAAAAGACAGCCACTGCACCTACTGCTGTTAGTAGAATGGCTCTCTTTTGTACCCATATACCCTTATGTTCAGAAGCCTATTGATGCTGTTGTGATCTTTCCCATCTTTAGTCTTGTGAATCTGTTTGGTTTTGGCAAAACATTGATAGACAATTTGGAAAACATGAAGCAAGAGAAATGCTGGACAAATAACAAGTGGAAGCAAATTCACATACAGAATCAAAGTGTGTTGATGCAGTTCACTTATTTACAGTACAATGGGGAAAACAATCTATAATAATACCTGGCTGTATATTAAATATCAGGATCTGATTGAAGTCTAGAACTTTCAGAAACAGAAGGTAAAAGCAGTAAAGTCCTTGCATCTCAAGGAAGGAAAAAATGAGTTGTGATGTCCATGAGCTCTAGACCTTCATTCAAGTATTACTAACAGTCCTTATCTTTAAAATTGTCTTTGTTCAATTACTTTTGAGCATTTAAAAATTTCAGAAGATTTATAAAAAATTTTGCAATAAGGATTAAAGTCTGCTCTTAAATGACATCTTGATTGGTGGATTTGAAATCTAGTGAGGAGGTGTGCATAAGCAAAGCTACAAATATTGTGTCCTTGTCCAAATACCTTTGGACAAGGACACAATATTGACACAATATACTTTTGATACCTGATTTAGTGTGCAGTGGTGTACCTTGGACGAGTGAATGTGTTTTACATGTCTCATTCATCTGCTGTGAAGTCCTGCATTTTACCTCCAGCTGTCAAACCTCTAACTGTGTAAAACTGGTTGTTAGCATCCAGCCAGCAATCTAATGTTGGCAAGCGAGACCATGTGAAAAAAAATTGTCCTAAAATGCACGAGTGGATCTGTGACAAAGTGTTTGTTTATTTGTACATTTCTACCTCCTGAGAAGTCTGATGATTCTGTCAAAGTTCTGCAGTTGAGATAACAGCCTATAACCGTAACCGCCTGCAGGTATATGTTACAGTACTCCTGGTTTGTTAGATATGTGTCACTGCTGAGGTTAGGTATAATACATTTATAAATATATGTAAATAGTTAATTCTGAAAACTTGACTGAACACATAGTACAAAAGTTAAACAAAGTCCATTGAACTTAAGTTACCAGGACTTCTTTATAGCCTCTTTTCCACTAATACCTACTCGATTTGACTCAGCTCGACTCGACTCTACTTGGTATTATTATTTTCCATTACAGTTGAGAATCATGGGTCATTATAGCAACACAGCAAAAAGTCCTGTGACGTCGTTTTTATGTGACACAAATACAACACAGGCGATGGTAAACTAGCTGTTCAGTCTGTGGCTTTTTGTCACTCTCGGGGACCGCAGTGTTGGTTTTTGTGCAGCCATTTTCCTCATTGCCAGGTTTCAGAAAAGGAAAAGGTCTGATTTTTGTGAAGGAGTCGCTCTCATGACTCATCGAGTGATGACTGGCCAATCAGATACGAAAAAAGTACCTTGTACCAGGCACTGCTACCTAATGGAAAACACTAAAAATCACATTGAGTTGAGTAGGTTCTAGTGCAAATGGATTTATGAAAATCAACTGTCCAGTAGTGTTTATGAAATAATCTCTTACCCTACACTGTATGCTGTAATGCTGCAGTGCTGTACCAAAATACGTTTGTATCACAGTACAACTTTTCCTCACTGAAAGTTTGGTCACAATTCTCTTCACATCAAAGCAAGAAAAGAAAAAGAATACACAAGCACAAACGTCAAACGATAGCAGCCTTCTGTAGCTTGGTAGAGTTGTAAAGCACTTTGGTCTTACTCCAAGATTTTTACAGTATGTGCTGTATATATAAACTGAAACTGCTGCCTTGTTTTTACCTTAGTGCTTAGTGGTGTAAAGGTACAGCTAGCAGCTGTCTCCTGCCATCATTACTGTGGCTGCGTTTATGTGTTCATCTCGCAGCAGGGACATGACTGGGTACCCTGCGAGAACACATCTTTGTTGTCCCACACACTGTTCTCGTTTACATTCTGGCACGAGATAATTACCCACGACAGTGACACTGCTCAGCCCAGTGAAAGTTGACAGCAGTTTAAAGTGTCCTTTGATAACAACTTCTTGTTTAGATTCACTGCTAAGTTTGCAAGTCAAAGAATGAGGAAGGGATGGCAGGGAGTGCTTGTGTTCATTTCTTCTGTTGCCTATAGAGGAGCCTGGAGGAGCAGGCCCACCTCCAGCTCAATGAGCCATGACTGTTTAATTGCCTGACATTCTGTCAGAGCACACACCCTCAAAGCTCGGAGAGAAATGGAGATTTTAAAGTCAAAAGAGGGGATAAAGGCACAACACACTGTCAGGCTCAGAGGTGCATTAAAGATAAGAAGCGGAGCTTTTAATTTGACATTTGTAACAAGTTTTTGTGCAGTTCAATTTAGTGTAGTTTTATAGGTCCTTTTTTGTCCCCTTGTGTAATGCATGGTTCGCAATTTATATGTATGGCAATATAGCACAACAGTGAGTGCAGGGCACAAACAAGGCTAGACTGTGGAAAGAGCCAGTAGGGAACACTAAAAAATAAAATAAAGCCTTTGATCCATGAGTTTGTGCACATAGTACTGGACCCTCTTTTTGCATAGCTTTCAGAAGATGTTTTGGAAATATTAGAGATTATATTTATATATTAAAAAAACTAATCCATGCACATAATGACTGATTATTAATAAA